AATTTTATATTCAAGTGAGTGCTTCCTTAATTCTCTCTACTATTCCTAAATAGGAAGCCAAAATTAGGTGTACATAACAAAGCTTAATATTCTTGTGCAAACACATTTGGACTGTTATCCCATATAATAAAAGCCTAATATGCTAAGTGTCCAGTTGTCGATTGTTGGTTCAACCAAAGTGTAATATGCTAATAATATGCTAAGGCTGCTCAACCGCTTGCTATAACATGCACTGATGTTTTACAGAGCTAATATTGTTCATATTTCCTGGGCCTACAGCACCTAGACAAGTTAGAAAAGTGGTCCTATGTTCTACTGCATGCAATTCAAACTAGAATTAAAAACTGACTATGCATTTCTAAAGTGGGGACAATCGCCCAACTGGCATGGCTCAGTGGTTGAGTGTCGACTGGTGAACCAGGAGGTCCTGGTTTGATTCCTGGTCAGGGCACATGCCCAGGTTGTAGGCTCAATCCCCAGTGTGGGGCATGCAGGAGGCAGCCAATCAATGATTCTCTCTCATCATTGATGTTTCTATCTCTCTCTCTCTCTCTCCCTCCCTTCCTCTCTGAAATAAATAAAAATATTAAAAATAAATTAAAAATAAAGTGGGGACAATCAACAGCATACAAAACTAATACACATATATAGAAGTAATGCAAGTATATAAAAGGAATATACTACATTAATAAGAAAAAATAATTTTATATTCAAGTGAGTGCTTCCTTAATTCTCTCTACTATTCCTAAATAGGAAGCCAAAATTAGGTGTACATAACAAAGCTTAATATTCTTGTGCAAACACATTTGGACTGTTATCCCATATAATAAAAGCCTAATATGCTAAGTGTCCAGTTGTCGATTGTTGGTTCAACCAAAGTGTAATATGCTAATAATATGCTAAGGCTGCTCAACCGCTTGCTATAACATGCACTGACCACCAGGGGGCAGAGGCTCCCACTGGTAGGTTAGCTTGCTGCTGGGGTCCAGCCGATCAGGACTGAGCATGATGGGCTGGACATGCCTTGTAGCCCTCCCGCGGTCCCTCCCTGGCTGTCCAACCAACCTCCCCGCATACCTCCCCAGCCCTGATTGTGCACCAGTGGGGTCCCTTAACCTGGCCTGTGCCCTCTCACAATCTGAGACCCCTCGGGGGATGTCGGAGAGCCGGTTTCAGCCCGATCCCGCAGGCCAAGCCGAGGGTCCCCACTGGTGCACGAATTCATGCACCAGGCCTGTAATTTCATATAAAAGAGTAGAGTTAGGGTGGCAGAGGGCGGAACAGTGTCTCCTTCACTTCACCCTCCACCACAGCAGCCGCAGCTTGACGCCAAGCGAGTCGAGCAGCTGCGAACGGAGTGACGGGACGGTCCCCCCAGGAGATCAATAGACCACCTCTTCCCGCAGGCTCACCATGGTGACCCACGGACAGAGCTGCGCACAGCCAATGTGTATTCCTCCATCATATGCTAACCTCAGCAAAACTGCCAGAGATATTTTCAACAAAGGATTTGTTTTTGGGTTGGTGAAACTGGACATGAAAACAAAGTCATGCAGTGGTGTGGAATTCTCAACATCTGGTTCATCTAATACAGACACTGGTAAAGTTACTGGGACCTTAGAGACCAAATATAAATGGTGTGAGTATGGTCTGACTTTCACAGAGAAATGGAACACTGATAATACTCTGGGAACAGAAATCGCAATTGAAGACCAGATCTGTCAAGGTTTGAAACTGACACTTGATAACACCTTTTCACCAAACACAGGAAAGAGAAGTGGTAAAATCAAGTCTTCTTACAAGAGGGAATGGATAAACCTTGGATGTGATACTGACTTTGATTTTGCTGGACCTGCAATCCATGGTTCAGCTGTCTTTGGTTACGAGGGCTGGCTTGCTGGATACCACATGACCTTTGACAGTGCCAAATCAAAGCTGACACGGAATAACTTTGCAGTGGGCTATAGGACTGGGAACTTCCAGCTACACACTAATGTCAATGATGGGACAGAATTTGGAGGCTCAGTTTATCAGAAAGAATGTGAAGATCTTGACACTTCAGTAAACCTTGCTTGGACTTCAGGTACCAACAGCACTTGCTTTGGTATTGCAGCTAAATATCAGTTGGATCCCACTGCTTCCATTTCTGCAAAAGCCAACAACTCCAGTTTTATTGGAGTGGGCTACACTCAGACTCTGAGGCCTGGTGTGAAGCTTATACTATCTGCCCTGGTAGATGGGAAGAGCATTAATCCTGGTGGCCACAAACTGGGGCTTGCCCTGGAGTTGGAGGCTTAATCCAGCTGAAAGCAACCTCTGGGAATGGATATCAGAAGATTTGGCCTTAATATATTTCCAGTGTGACCAGCAGGCTTTTCTCCCTCCAAGAAGGTGATCAAAACAGGATGAGCTAAACAAGAGCTATGTTTTAAATATGTATGTAGACAGTTACTTATTAGCTGGTTTCTAGTTGAATTGTTTATCTAGTTACCAATGCAGCAGTCCTGCAGTCACCTGTACATTATTTAATGTACTTAGCTGTTAAATGCGCTACCCATCAATAATGAAATAGACCTTTATGAAAACTGTAAAAAAAATAAAAAGAGTAGAGTTATAAGACCAAACACAAACTGCTAATGCATTAAAATTTAAAGTAAAGTGTTGGATAATTAATATTACCTAGGAAAAGTCAAACTCTGATTTTTTTAATGTTTAGGGAATTATTTCAAAGGTTATTTTCTTAATACTCCAACTAGCATCCTTAAGAATGTGTTAAGGCAAGCCCAGCCTAAATTGTACTAAAAATTATTAATTAATACAGAGAAGTGATTCTAAAACCATATTTTGAGTATTTTATCTTAAAAAAACAAAATTATTAAGACCAATTTTGTGCCCTGGCCAGGTAGCTCTGTTGGTTAGAGCATCGTCCAATATGCCAAGGTTGTAGATTCAATCCCCAGTCAGGGCACATACATGAATCAACCAATGCATGCATAAATAAGTGGAACAACAAATCAATGTTTCTCTCTCTCTCTCTCTCTCTCTCTCTCTCTCAAATCAAGAATTCTTTTTTTAATTTTTAAAGACCAATTTTGCTGTCTAAAGAATAAGCTATTAGCCCAACTGGCATAGCTCAGTGGTTGAGTGTCGATCTATGAACCAGGAGGTCATGGTTCGATTCCCAGTCAGGGCACATGCCCGGGGTTGAGAGTTTGATCCCCAGTAGGGGGCATGCAGTAGGCAGCAGATCGATGATTATCTCATCATTGATGTTTCTCTCTCTCTCTCCTTCTTCCTTCCTCTCTGAAATCAATCTTTTAAAAGAAAATAAAGAATAAGCTATCAAAAACATAAAGTTAATAACATATGGTCATTTAGTTAGTGCAAAAAAACAATACTGTGAAAGAAGCAAGTTTCCAGTCCTCCCCAATTCTCACATGCTATCTCGAAGCTAGGACTTGCCCATTATATATGCAAAGGCAACTTCGAGGTGTAGAATAATGGTTAAGAGCAATGTCTTAGAGTGACAGAGAATTCATTTCCTGTATGATTTAAGATAAGACACAACCTCTCCATTCTCACTTGTAAAGTAGGGATGCCAATATGTCCTCATATCATGAGAACTAAGCAAGCACTGGGTCACTGCCTGTCACATTCAAATTATGGTTCCATTTAATATGGTAACAGATATAGATGTGTGTATGTGCTGTATATATATATATATATTTTTCCTAGCTCAGTCCACAGGAAAGGACCTAAAAGCACAGTGGCAGTGAGCACAGCTAGTGACCAGATCTTCAATCTACTTCTAAACACCATTCTCCTAATGAAAGCATTCAGGGCTTTTTGGGAAAGTGGTTGTTTCCAAGGCTGGGGAAGGGAAAATATGAAACTAGAACATCTTCAGGTGTCAGAAAATAAGAAAATGCTCAATAAAGAATGGGGGGCATGTTGAGAAGACCCAGGAGTCAGCCTGAATGAGGTCCTACGGCCAAAGTTGGAACAATGAGCAGCAAAATAAATAATGGTGATACCAAACTACATCTCACAGAATAAAAAACTATCCATGAGGACATACTGATATAAGTAAATGAGAAAGGATAGCTCTTCCTTACACAAGAATTCCAATTAATAAATGTGGATAAAAGAAAAAAACAGAAAATCACCATTAAGTAAATAATGCACTAATAACTGGTATAGATAAGATCCACAGAGAAATAATAGAATTAGAAAAGGTTGAGGAGAAACAGGATATTTATTCATTACAATGAGAAAAATACTAACTTTACTGTGGAGAAATCTGGCAGACAAGGGTTAGTTACCTAGTAGTAAGATATACTGACATTATGAACCCCCTGATATGATGCACTGAGAAGGATATACTATCACTTCTGTACTCTTCTGGCCAAAAAATGCATACATAACCTTATTCTAACCATGAGAAAACATCAGACAAACCTAAGTTGAGAGGTATTCTACAAAACAACTAATCAGTTTTCTTCAGCAGTTCAAGATCATAAAAGACAAGAAGAAACTGAGGAACTGTCACAGATTAGAGGAGACTAAAAAGACATAACAAATAAATAGAAGATGAGATCCTAGATTGGATCCTGGAAGAGAAAAAGGATATAAATGGAAAAAGCGGTAAAATTCAAAACAGATCCGTAGTTTAGATAACAGTATTGTACTAATGTTGATTTATTAATTATACTATAATTATATAAAATGTTAATATTAGGGGAAGATGGGTGAAGGGCTATGCAAACTCTATACTTTTACTACTTCTCTGTAAGTCTAAACTTATTTCAAAATAGTTCCTAAAGTTCTTTTTTAATATGAAACCTATAGTTATGTAGGCAATGGGTTATCTTTTTATTTTGCCTTAAAATCCTTAAGTTATGCTAACATATCCCTCAACTGCTAAAGCTAGAATACATAATTCTAAAAAACTTAGCTCTGAAAAATGTAATCAATAAAACACATTACACAGATCTCATTACCTGTAATTTTATATCCATAAGCAGCTAGTTGTCCAGCCATATATTCTCCATCTGAATTATTATGAGAACAACCCCATGTTCGTATCCAAATTTTCTGTATGCCTGGAATAGTGCTATTAAACAATCAATAAAAGAAAAAGTAAGTCTCATTAAAGGATTTTTAAAATAAAAAGCACTAGAGGATTTCTGGGCATATTATGAAGAAAAAAAAATACACTCACTGAAACCCATTCACAAGCTATTCATTAAAAGTGCTTCTTATATAAAAATAGAGTTCAAAAATGAAATAGTTTTAGGGGGGGAAAGGGGACTTTCAACTTGGATTACCCAGTAATTTATAATTAAACAGAAATTACCTTGAGGACATATTCAGGACAAATATGATAAACTTCAGTCATTTTTATAATAGCAGAAAATTTTAACTCCAATAGATTTTAAAAGTGTAATGTTCCAAACAAAATAATCAAGTATATTAAAACTTCCAACAATTTACTAAATAAATAAATATAGGGATATTAAAACTATACAACTGCATAATCATTTCTGGCTAGACTGTATTAGAATTTCACTAGAGACTTAATAAAGTAAACAGCACAATAATTCATTTGTGCCTAATGCCTTTACCTGAACTATTAATATTTGTAAATTTGCTAAGAAAAATCAAATGCACAAACATCACTGTCTCATAAGAACCACAAATTCCAGTAAAAATTTTAATTTGGAAGTAACACAAAAGTGCATACCAGATACAGTAACATCAAAGAGATGGGGAGAAGATCCTATCTATATGCAAAACACTTTCCTAGGCCCTGCCTTCAAGGAACATGCAATTTGACACCTTTTTTTGAAACCAATTACTTTGCTAAATTAAAAAACATTCTGCCCTGGCCGGATGGAAGGGTCCCAGGTTTGATTCGGTCATGTGCATATGCCAGGGGTTGCGGTCTTGATCCCCAGCAGGGGTGTGCAGGAGGCAGCCGGTCAATGATTCTCTCTCATCATTGATGTTTCTATCTCTCTCTCCCTCTCCCTTCCTCTCTGAAAGCAATAAAAAATATTTTTTAATTCAAATAAAAATAAATAAATCTACATATGTCCTCTAAAAAGTTCAAGCATATTTTTAAAAGAGACATTATGCATATCACATAAACCAGTACTATCCTAGAATGATATTGATTTAAAAAAAAAAAAAAAAGCTTACCTATCACTTGGTGGACTATCTTCCTCTTGCAAACATTTTTGGGTATTTCGCCTTCGGGCCTTTGGAACAATGTGCTTTCTTGAAAAATGCCTATCTTGTGGCTTTGAGTCTTGCTGTGACACAATATCTTCTATGTCATCCAGTAGTGTATCACAGGATGCAGAAGGCATCTTCTTCATCATGTAAAAAAGTTATAAATGATACAAACTTATGAGTCCCTCAGAAAATCTGCTTAACATAGCATCACCTATCAAATATCCTTGCTAAATTTGAATCCAATAAAGCCTTTAGATTTAACTTCACGTTTACAGAAAATGCAAAGATAAAGAAACACAAGGAAACAATCAGACCAATCCTACTGATAGTGGGACATTCCAAAATTCAAATGGAACTATGTGTTCAACAAATCAGTATCATGGAGAAAAAAAGCAGGAGAGGAACTGTTAAAGATCAAAGGAGACTTAAAAGCGCAACAACTAAATGCAATTCATGTTCTTGTTTAGATATTACTTTGTCCAACCAGCTGCAAGACATTTGGGGAACTAGGGAAATCAGAGTATGAACTAGGCATCAGATATTAGGATAGTGCTATAAATCAGTGATTTTCAACCTTTTTAATCTCATGGCACATATAAACTAATTACAAAATTCTTGATCTGACAAAAAATAGGTATAACTTTGATTGATTTACAAAAATAATCCTATATAATAAAAGGGTATTATGCAAATAGAACGAACAGCAGAACAACCTAACAACCAAAGTGTAATATGCTAATGATATGCTAAGGCTGCTCAACCGCTCACTATGACGTGCACCGACCACCAGGGGGCAGTCAACTGGTCGGCCAGTCACTAGGATGTGCACTGACCACCAGGGGGCAGACAGTCGCTATGACTTGCACTGACCACCAGGGGGCAGATGCTCCAACTGGTAGGTTAGCTTGCTGCTGGGGTCCAGTCGATCAGGACTGAGCGAGATGGGCCAGACACACCCTGGAGCCCTCCCGCGATCCCTCCCCAGCCTGATCATGCACCTGTGGGGTCCCTCAGCCTGGCCCTGCGCCCTCTCACAATCCGGGACCCCTTGGAGAGCCGGTTTCAGCCTGATCCCATAGGCCACTCCCTTTGGGAGGGCGCCAGATGCAGGGCTCATGGCTGGAGAGCGCTGCTGCGGCAGTGCAAGCCTCTCCCAATCTTGACTGATTGGGTGCGGCAGGCACAGTGGGGCCGGGATGAGCGGTAGCAGCAGGTAGGAGCTGCAGGTGGCATTGGACTGCAGCTTTCGGCCCCATCCCTGCAGGCCACCCAGAGGGACCCCACCCATGCATGAATTCATGCACCAGGCCTCTAGTCCTACATAATAAAACTCTAATATGCAAATCGACCGAACAGCAGAAAGACCGGTCGCTATGACACACACTGACCACCAGGGGGCAGATGCTCAATGCAGGAGCTGTCCCCTGGCGGTCAGTGTGCTCCTACAGGGGGAGCAGAGCTCAGCCAGAAGCCGAGCTCACAGCTGGTGAGCGCAGCAGCAGTGGTGGGAGCCTCTCCCGCCTCCGAGGAAGCACTAAGGATTTTCGACTGAGGGCTCCCGGACTGTGAGAGGGTGCAGGCCGGGCTGAGGGACCCACCCCCCCGGAGTGCACAATTTTTGTGCGCCGGGCCTTTAGTAATAATATAATAGTAATTACCTATCCTTTTTGTTCCAAAGTGACTTTTTAAAAAATCAGATGCCTATACTTGTATATAAGGATTACTGGTATCAAGAATTAACCAATCAGACATAAACTTATTATGAGACATGACCAATAAGATGCAACTCTATTATATGACCTACATATTTATGGTTCAAGACAGGGAATTCATAACAAATGGCTATCATTGCGTTGGCTGTCTCATGGGATGATACCCAACCAACTGAGCCATACCAGCCATGGTTGGTTTTGCATGCTTTAAAAATTCTTGCAGCACACCAGTTCAAATCACTGCTATAAATCATTAAATATAAAGTACTGTCCTTATGTTTAAAAATCTTTATTTTTTATACTGAATTTATATTTATTATTTGTATATTATTATATATATTATTCAAAATCTTATATTTTTGGAGATGCATATTGAATGTTTGGAGGTGAAATGCATTATGTCTATAATTTACTAAAACAAAAAAATTAGATAAAGACATATGGGAAACATTTACAACTCTTAAATCTAGAAACTAGATATGTTGGTGTTCATTTCCTATTCTACTTTCCTGAATGTTCAAAATTTTTGTTATCAAGAAAAGAAAATGTAGACACAGCTTCCAGGAAGATAAGAGTAGACATTCTTTTCCCTATTTCTCCTGCTAAGTACAATTAAAACTCTGGACATTATATATAAAATAAACTTAAGAAGACTTTGAAAGGTGGAGGGAAAAAGGAAGACAGGTTAGGACCCTTGGAATCCAAATGGTAAATTCCTTAGGGGCGTGGGGCAGGGGCGGGAGCTTGCCTCCTATTCCCAGACATGGAGTTAAAGAAGCCAGCAACCCAGAAGTGCCAGCAAACATAGAAAATAAAAAAACCCCAACAAAAGTCTGTTTTCTTGTCAAACAACCAGAAAAGGGGCAGCCCAGCAAGGCAGAAAACTTTTAGACGATAACCATTCTGCCAAAAAAAAAAAAAAGAAGAAGAAGAAACCCACAAAACTATGGTCCCACCTCCAGACAAGCCACAAAGGCAAAGTGGGGAGCCCTGACGTCTTCCTTATGAGGATATAATGAGGCACCCCAATATACCTCATCAGAATAGAAGCAGAAGGCCAAGTAGGGACCCTGGACTTCCAATCCAACCAACAAACCAGCAATGAAGCACCACTCCACTCCCACTGTCAGTGAAGACCAAACTGACATTTAAGTTTAAAATTAAATCCCTATCAAAATCCCAGCAAAATTTTTTGTAGACACAGATGAGTTCCAAAATCTATATGGAAAGGTAAAGAAATGAACATGTCTAAAACAACTGGTAAAAAATAGAATAAAGTGGGAGGAATTAGCCTGACCAATTTTAAGACTTATTAAGAATTAAGACTGTGTAATATTAGTAGAATATAAACATGGATCAACAAAACATAACAGAGAGCCTGGAAATAGACCCACACAAATACAGACAGTCCTCGAGTTACATCGGACTCGACATACATCGTTTCGTGGTTACGTCGCCCTATACTATTTATTTATAAAAAAAAAAAAAAAGTTCCGTCATTTTGACGTATGTACATATGTGCTTTATGTTTTTTATTATTTATTTACTACAAGTAAAGGTCAGGAATTGCTATCTTTCTTTTAAATTTTTTTACTGTTTCACTTCATTATTGCTGTGTATGTGCTCCATGTGAGTGACGTAGGTGCTTATGTAGGTGGGTTCCCACTTACGGTGAAAATCGCGTTATGTCGCACCATAGGAACGGATCTCCGACGTAACCCGAGGACCTACTGTATGCTCAAACGATTTTTCACAAAAGTGCAAAAGTCATTCTATGCAGGAAAGCTAGCCTTTTCAAAAATTAGTGCTTGAGCAATTAGACATCTATAGACAAAAATAAACTGCAACCCAAGGCTCACAACTTACACAAAAATTAATTCAAAAATGGTTACGCCATAGGAACGGATCTCCGACGTAACCCGAGGACCTACTGTATGCTCAAACGATTTTTCACAAAAGTGCAAAAGTCATTCTATGCAGGAAAGCTAGCCTTTTCAAAAATTAGTGCTTGAGCAATTAGACATCTATAGACAAAAATAAACTGCAACCCAAGGCTCACAACTTACACAAAAATTAATTCAAAAATGTATCATGGACGTAAACGTAAAATGTGAGACTATAACCTTTAGAAAAAATCATAAAAGAAAATCTTCTAGACCTAAAGCTAGGTGAAGAGTTCTCAGACTTGACACAAAAAGCACAATCCATAAAAAGAGAAATTAAATCCAGACATCATCAAAATTAAAAACTTTTGATATGCAAAAGACTCTTTTGAGAGAATGAAAAGTCAAACTACAGAGTGGGAGCAATATTTGCTAACCTGAAAAAGAACTAATATCTAGAATTCAAACACAATACTGAAAAAAAAAATCCAGTTAGAAAATGAACAAAAGGAAGACATTTCATCTAAGAAAATATGCAGGGGAGATGTACAAGAGGGTAAAGGGGAGATAAATGGTGATGGGAGGAGACTTGGGCTTGGGATGGTGAACACAATACAATATATAGATGATGTATTATAAAATTATACACATGAAACCTACATAATTTTATTAACCAATTTCAACCCAATAATTCAATTTTTAAAATGCAATAGCTACATATGCAAAAAAAGAAAGATATAAAGATGGCTGATAAGCACATGAAAAGAGACTCAACATTAATAATCCACAGCTATCAAAATGGCTAAAATAAAAAATAGTAGTGAGAACATTAAATGCTGACAAGTGTACAAAGTAACTGAATCCCTCATACAGTCCTGATGGGAATATAAAATGGTACAGCTGTTTGGAGAAAAAATATTAATCATGTAACTACACTGCAACCTGGCAATTGTATTACTGAGGGCTTAATCAAAAAGATGTAAAGACTTAAAATCATGCAAAAACCTGAACACAAGTGTTTAAAGTGGCTGTCTTTGTAATAGCCAAAACTTGGAAACAGCCCAGATGCCCTTCAATGGGTTGAATAGTTAAACAAACTGGGATACATCCATGCCATAGAATACTACACAGCAATAAAAAAAGAATGTATTGTTGCTATATGAAACAACTTGGATGAATCTCCAATGAATTATGCTGAGTGAATACAGTCAAATTTCAAAATGTCACATACTGTATATTTACATTTATGTAACATACAGTAATGGAGATTGAAATAAAATTATATAAATGGAGAAAAAAATAGTGGTTGTCAGGGATTAAGGAGAGGATGGATGGCAGGAAAGTGAATCTGACTATAAAAGGGCAACATGAGCGATCCTTGCAGTGATGGAAATATTCTATATCCTGACTATGTAAATGTTAAGATCCTGGTTGTGATACTGTATTATAGTTTTGCAAGACACTACCACTGGGAGAAACTGGATAACGTGTACAGCATCTCCACATAATTTTTATAACTGTAAGTGAATTTACAATTATGTT